TAGTGTAGTAAAAGGTCTAGACTGGAATGATAATAACATTTGTACCAGTATGTTTAGGTTTTTTCTTATCCTTGAAACTGATAGTTAAAAACTTTTGATGCATTTTGTACTACTGTATTTATTTTCTGTCCAAACTTCTACATTTTGAGAATTAAGAATTTTAAATGTTTTAGTTTGGAACAAAAGAATGACTATTCGGGTAAAGTGCAAACTTTTAGCATCAAACAGCGACATGCACATCGACAGAAACTCAGACACATGCAACAACATCATGGTCTTACTGAGCGGATGATGGACTTGAAAAACCAGCATCTACGAATCTAGATTTCCAGGTCAGGTAAGCTTCTGAGCAGCACTGAAGGTAGCTGTTCGCTAAAGAGTCATTACGTCACTTTCAGTATCAACTGAAATAGTTTCAGACTTTGTATTGCATTATTTGCATACTTGTCATTTTATTAGGTTGTACTACATTTTTGATTGGGTTAAGTGTGAATTTAATATATTTTCAATAAATTAAATAGATTCTTGGGTGCTATAAGGATTGAAAACAAAAAAGAAATACACTACAAAACATCTGAACTAGTGAGCTGAGTGGTTGTTGGAAAGTGATTTTGTTTATTCAAACAAAACCAGGCGGACTGTCTTAATGCGCAGCTAGAAGTAGCTGCTGGCACAAATGACACATTTTCCATGCAGATGTGACATTGATCTCTCCTCTGCAACAAGACCAAAAAGCAAATTTAAAAAAAAAAAAAAGCCAAATGAGTACTTTAATGGAAAAAATGTTTGTGTAGATTCTTAGTCATCCAGGTCGTAGTAATCTTAAGAGCCTCATTAGAAGACAACTGGACTTTCTCTTTCTTGTTCTTGAAGATGTTTCACCTCTTGTTAAGGTTCTAACTGTGACTCCAAAATCACACCTATAGTGGCTCATTAACAATCCAAGATTCAAATGTTTTGAGGTGATCATGGTGATGCTTCCTGGGGAGGGATTGCTAAACTGTGTTACAAGTACCTGATAAGTGGTGTCACTGACCTCTCTCCTCTGTTTAAAAGTTGCTGTTTTAGTTTACCATTGATGATTTCCTTCACTTCCTTCTCTTACTTCAGCGGAACCTCAAAACAAGTAAAAACCTACAGTGTTTAATCAAAGCCCATTTCTGATGCACATTCCTGCCCTGCGGTTGAACTGATGCCAGAATCTGAATGTTGTCTAGATATAAAACCTTAAGTTGCACCGTGAAGCGTGAACTGGAAAAGAAACGGAACATGTGAAGGTAGTCGGTGGCTTCTAACAGAACAAGATGAAAATTACACACTTACAGACATAATTCACCACATGCGGTGAGAACACTTTAGAGAAGTTAGACACAAAAAGGCAATCTGTCTGTATCTTTAGCAGGACACAAATCTGCACAGGTCTGATGACTAAAGGAAGCAGTCATGGGTGGACAGTAAACCAGATGGTAAGAGGAAGCCCTCTGGTAAACCTCTGATCTAATATTTCAAATGGAAGGCTGATGGAAACAGCATGTCACAGACAACATAATTTATAATTATAGCATTTTTATTGTAATGGATTTTTATGGAATTAATTAATGGATAAGCATGGCCACATACACTACAGTACCACTAGGAAAGAGGCTGAGAAGCAATGATTAGATTTTAGTGTTACAGTATTTCAACTGGAAATGAACATGATAGCTTTAATTAAGAAATACATTACAGCCACTGTGGGGGAAAAAAGCTATTAAAAAAACTGTTATTACACTCTGGTGACATATAATTTTCAGGACGGTAAAGATGTCATGCTAAATCCACAGAGAGCTCAGCATGGATGAACGTCACGGTGCGTATATTTCACTTTACAAAGTGTTGATATTTCACACATGGTTTGCTGAGTCAATTTCATGACTTCTAGGATTGCAGCTTCGGTCCCGAGACTGGCCAGCCTTCTCAGGAGTATAGAATTCACCAGGGAAATCTAATTACTCTCAACAGAAACAGCTAGATATATCTTTACCGAGAAAGGGTCCACCAAAACAAAAGGCGCTGTGAACAACAAGGAAACAAACTAGAGTTCTCACAGATGTCTGTGCAAGCAGGATATGAATTACTGCACAGAAGTGGTTCAGTTCTGGCATTTTCCCAACGTGGCAACCAGAAAAAATCTATCACATTTATCTTCGAAGGTTAGATCTGGCTTTAATTACTGAAACGCAAAAAGCAGTCAAACAATATGTGAATATCTACACAACCAAATCAAATAAAGCAATTAATATTAGGCTGATGTAAAAGGTTACCGGCTGTAAGCATTTTGGAAGCTGCAAAATGTAAGTATGAAAAGCAGTAACGGGGCAAAGTGCACAAACGAACTCAAGTTCAGAACTAATTATGCGTTGAGCTGCAGTGCAGAAGTGGTCAGTGGTGTTGACGTGTGCACTCGGGGATTCGGGCAGGTCAAACGTCAGATGGGACCCTTGCTGACCCCACCGACTCACCGCACAGGGGACTTCATGAGGGAATCCAATTAAGCCTGCTGGGCCCTCAGCGTCTTGTAAAAGTCAACAAGCTGCCACTCACATTTCCCTTCTTCCCTCATCCACCACCGTCTGCTTTCCTCTATCCATCTTCCCCTTCAGTCTGTCTCCCGCCTTACCTCCTTCCTGGGGATACAAACTCCCCCGTCAAAGCACCGGCCTGCTTCTAAAAACAACTCTAAGACGGTTTGACGGCTTCGAGGACTATTTATATTCTTCCACATGTAATGTAGTCCACCGGCTTTCTGGCTTCTTGTTATCTTTAACCCATCCAATGCCAATGCAGTCTGCTTAGGAGCGGTCGACATCAAGGAGAGTGGGGTAAAGTGATTGTATGACAGCAGTTTACGAATCAAAGATAAGGTATGACTCACACATATGGACGTTATTAAGTCTGACAGATGTGAGTGGCACCAAATCTGTGCAGTTTCAGAAAATGCATTTAGTTAATTCAATTCGCTGCAGGATGGATGACTTAAAGAAGAGGAGAGAATCCATGAATGAAAAGAAGATATGAGAGGGTCCAAGGAGGGATTAAAGAGCTATAAACGTTTCACCAGAATACATTTTAGCTATATTTGATTTTAAGAGGAGTGATTTCCAAAATGCTGATTGGAGTCAGCTACTGTTCGCTCTTTTTGTCCAAACTACACTCAGAAAAATAGCGGTTCTGAAATGGTTCTTCAGAAGGCTCTTTGGTTCTTAAAAGCACCATCATTAATTAAAGAACTTCTTTATTTAGACATGGCTTCTTCGTATACTTGATGTGGTTTTTAAAGCACTAAACATTCTTCATTTTTCACTGGAGTTATTTGGCGGCAGGTAATAACACTGAAATTAGAGCTGCAGCTAACCATCATTTCAATATCGTTTAATCTGCAGATTATTTCCTCAGTTGGCTCGATCGATTTATCACTTGGTCTATAAAACATCAAAACACTGTGAGAAATCTCCCCCAAGTTGGCTTTTAGGTCAGACTTTATTCTGTCTGACCAACAGTTTAGAACCCAAACTATCAAATGTGTTATAACGCCAGATTCAGAAATTCTCATGTTTGCCTAATTGCTTAAAAATGACCAAAACAATTATCAAGTCCTATCATCAATAAAGAATGGAATGGTTCCACACAGAACTATCTTTAAATGGTTCCTTAAAGAACTTACTTTTGCTAAAGTTTTTGCAGCACCATTAAAGGAACTTTTTTCTTTAGCCACGTTCTCGGGGTTCTTCAAAGAATCTTTTGCTGAAAGTGGTTCTTTTATTTTTTTTGTCTAAGTACCTAAAGAGCTATATAAACACCAGAGTCAAATTCCTTGTTTGTGCTCACATATTTGGTTAAAAGATTAATTCTGATGCTGATTCTTGTTCTTTTATGGCATTACTGCAAAGAACCATCTTTGGTTCGAGTTAGCACCTTCATTTCTCTGAGTGTATCAACATTATATGTGCTACGTTGGTCCATCACTGCTTTAATGCAATTGTCAGTATCGTCTTCTTCGTTATTCTTCAAACTTCGTTTACGCATTTCAACAAGTAAATCTAACTTTCCCTTCAGAAATCTGCATGTACCTGTAAAATATTGAACTTTCACTCTAAACTGCCTCGTCATCCCACATGGAGCTCAGCCACATGGTCTCCTTTAACGCCCAGACGTCACAATAAATACGTTGAGAGATCTTCCCCCAACAAGGTATGTAAGTCTAAATAATGACTTTGCAGATATCAGTTCCGGCATCAGCTATATAATATTTGACCGTTTTTCTCTGGCATTCATGTTCGCACATTGACTTTGAAAGCCTGAAAATACCACATAAGCCGCAGGATTAACGTCCCAATGGCACATAGTCAGAGGAGCTAAGCCATTACATGAGAAACGCCGAGCAAACAAACAACGACTGCTGGGCAAATAAAAAGAGGGTGTTGGTCCTCAAGCATCAACACGTGGATGTGTTTTGGAATGATTATGATCAGCTTTTTACATTTTTCTTTTAAAACACATGAAATATGATCTGTAACGTGTCTCCATAACTTACCTGAATGTGTCAGGAGAGGACTGCAGAGCTGGAGTATCAGGTGATGTGATGTTGGACATGCTTTGAGGTTTTTGTACAGTACCACAACACCAAATGACAAATTACATGTTGTGGGTGCGTGCTAAGTGTTGTTATGTCTACTGTACGTTTCATCCCATAATGCTCAGGACACACTGACTGACAATGATGAATTTCAAACCCCAAAAGAGAAGACACGGGAGATATAGGCTCTGTCAGTTCGGCACAACAAAGAAGGTTCAGCACAAAGGAGGGAAACCTGACCTCTTGTATCATGGACAGCTTCTTTCATGTCAAATGGGAACCATGTTGTAGGGATGGTTTGAATTGATTGTAGTTATTGTTACGTTTACATGTACAACGGAGAACTTTTTTTGCAAGATGAAATTTCATGAAATGACTCTAATAGTTAAGTAGATAGTATTTTTATTTTTTAAAAAAGAAAATGTCCTTCATAACCCAAGTATTTAAATAACGTAAAGCCCAGACGACTTGTTTGGCTAAAAATACATGACATACATATGACACTACTCATATTTCACACATATATTACTTCATTTATCATTTCCATATTCAGTTTTTATGATTATCACTAACGACATATAGATTTAGTGATAGTAAAAATCACATACTTACCAGAGGATACAACTGATGACCACTATACCAGGTACCTACAGGTGAACAGTGAGTCTAACAGGACATGTATTTGATCTTACGCTGCCCTCTAATGTTGTAAAGAAAAACTACCACGTCTTGAGACGAGGCATCAAATGTGGAGCAAATTCAACAAATGACTTTGAAACAACTTATTGCAGCCTGCACTATCATTGTTCCCATCTGTATATTTAAAGAAAAGCACCTCTTTCTTCCTTAAGTGGTTGATAGCAGAGAAAAATAACAAACTGTTCTTATATCTACGCTCTTTCATTAAGCTCCTGCTGACTGATTCATATGTAGTTGTGTAATCTGTATATACTCTTCTGTTTACTCTATGCTTGCCAGTGTTTGATGTCTCTAAAACAGAGTTTTGGCTGTCAGCAAACTGACTCGGATGGATGTCGGCTGGCCTGAAGCAGTGCTTGGTTTTTATTCTTTCATATGTAAGAGAACAACCACAATCTACTGTGAATTTGGAGATAAAATAAGAGCATCACAGCATCCACCTACGTCTCCTCGTAGACGAAACAAAATGTTAATAATTTGAGAAGTTTTCGTTACAAGTTGTAGACTGCAGTGGTTCTCAAAGTGGAGGTCGTGGCCCCGCTGGGGGTCACGAAACACCAAGAAAGGGGGTCGCAAGATGATTTCAGTAAGTCAAATCAAATTTAATTAATTGTTGTATCTAACAAGACGCAGGTTAAAGGTTGAATTCTGGCCACAGCGGCAGTGGGATGTGAATTTGGCCAGATGTCCTTTAGTTTTCTGGAGCAATACACACACACACACACACACACACTCAGCTAGTCTTACTTCAGTCACAGTATAGCGATCATTGTGACAGTGACAATTCCTTAGATTCATATTTTTGCATTGTCTTGGCAATATTATTGATGAAAAATATTAGAGAAGCGCAGCTATACATATATGTCACTGACAAGAGAGAGCTTTCCAAAAACATGTCTGTAACACCCAGAGATGATACCAAATATAGAAATTAATGTATTAGATTTGACTAATTATCAGATTTTAGGTGGTTATTTATGTTTTGTTTTTTTGGTTTTTTTATCTTAATGAAAGAAAGCAGTCATGGTTGAGTATTTTAGACCAGTAAGTAATTTGTTGTGACCATTTCTGTCTCTTTCTCTATAATCAACTGGTTACTTATGGGTTGATGTTCATGCTGGCTGTGTTTTGTGTGACAGAGTGAGAGGAATAAGGTGCGTTCAATTCACTGTTTGATCCTCCAAGAATTTCTAACTGGACTTTAACACTATTTGGCAGTTAATGTAGCTGTTTTCTAAATGTTGGGATGTTAGAATGACTCAAAATGCCTGAGAGGAAGCTGGCAAACACGTTCGCTGATGTACCTCATGTTCACATTAATCACATAATAACAATATACAGTAATTCACATTTGACTTTGGTGTCATGCAGATATAAAGCCACAATCTGATTATTGTTGTGCTTTCTTTTAACCTTCATTATACATGATTCCCTTTAATATGACAGATTTAAAGATGAGAATCACCACAAAGCTACCACGGATATAACTGGTAAATATAATATATACAGTAAATACAGCAAACTGATTTTAACCTTAATATGCTGCACGCTGGTGCCCCCTATTGTTGGAAAGCAAAATTATTTCTACTTTTCCCAAGATCACAAAAACAAGATGGGCCTTAAGGAAATAAGGGCCTCTCAATAAGAATCCCAATTTCCCAACCTGATTTAAAATGTAAATCATCTCTGATCTACTTAGAACAGAGTTTTAGCAGTCAGCAAACTGACCAGCAGGGTCACCACCAGTGATGTCAACTGGCCTGAACCACTGCTCAGAACTATAGGTCCAAGTGAGATGTCCACGGTGCCGCGGTAGGACACATCCCTGCGAGCTCGCCTGTGGTAACCCGGGTAGCAGTGCTGCAGGAAAACAACATTAGAGGCTTCTGCACCCGTTGATATTTTTATAATCTCATTGCAAACACGGTGTTACTTACAGCTGTGCAGTTGTTGTTCCTCAGGAAGCACAGGTGGGTCTGACAGTGCATGTAAAGGGAAGAATAGTTGGTGAAGGCGAACATTCGGAAGGAGAATCGGGCCACAGTGGAGACGCCGTTCTGCAGCATTTCCACTGTGCCATCTGCTGTATTAGGACACCTGGAGGAGAGAGACGGTGGTAAACGTTAGACTGTACAGCAACAGGGTTCAGTTGTATAGAAGCAAATGAGGAGAGTTCTCGTGAGGGCTATCAGTGCCAAGACAAGCTCTTTTACTCTTCAGTGATGAGATCCCAGCGGACAGGGTAGCTTGCGATGTTGACTGGCGTGGCCCAGCAAGACTCCAGAATGGTGGAGATCTGGGTTTGGTCAACTCCTTCCGTCCGCACCTCCACATACAGCTTCTCATCTACTTCTACATCTATGCTTCGGGTACTGGTGAAGGGGAAGCGGAAGCCAGCGTCCTGGTAGAGGATCATTCTTGTGTGATACTCTCCACGACCAGATGGAAGCTTCTTCCTCACAAGGCTATGAAAAAAAAACACAAACACATAATGTGATAACACTCAAGCTTGATTACCAAAAACCTGTTGTGGATTGTTCCTTCCCAAGAGCGGCTCATTAATTAAAATGTAACACTTGTGCAGCAAGTGCAATTTGCATGAAGTGTGTTAGACTAAGTCTAGCTGGTAATCTTTGACACGTTCACGTTTCATCAGAACAGAGGCAGATTCTTCAGAATTTAAGTTTGCATTGTTCGCTAAGAAATTTAATTGTGAAGATGCAGAACATCTGGAAAACTACAACAGAGTTCATACAACTGAGGCCACTTTTTTTTTGGCAGTGTTCTTACCACTGACTCTGATCAATGACCCAAAAAGGCTTGAGGTGCAGATGTACAGCAGCAAAGAATCCTCTGATACGATACATTAATATTAAAACGCTGGTAGCACTGCACACATTTTGATATATCACTATGAATAAATGTTTGCTATTACAAAAAAAACTGTCATAATTTTGATTTAGGCAGCACCGCTGCAGTCAAGGAATTGGTCAAATAAAACATGCAGAGGAGAAGGTATTGTTACCTCTCCACAGGGTTGATGCCCACAGCCATAGACAAGGCCTGATTTAGAGGATATTCACAGCAGAAACGCAGATCAATGTTCCTCTGGCGGCTGATTACACCTCCGTGAGTATCCACATCGCCCTGGATGGCGTTCTCATACATGAAATGGGTTCCATTGCTCTTGAAATTGGAATGACAAAATTATGTAAGTCAATGATCTATAATCTCATTAAGTCTGCACTTATAACACTGTAGTCTATGGACTGTACCCTGAGAACCGTCCCACACAGATGGTCATCATTGTCGAAGTGGAACACCAGGCGTCCGTCCCGCAGGGTCGAGTTGCAGGAATCATCTCGGAGATGAAGGGCGTTGGAGTGGAAACCAGCTTCAAACAGCTGGCAGCGAGACACAGACATGGTGCCTGAACTATTGGCACAAGTGATGAACGAGTCTGTGGAAGAACGATAGAAATAAAAATCACTTTTTGAGGTTTTTGATAGATAATCTCCTCAGTTTACCCCAAAGTCACCCAATAAATCACTCAATGCTGTTGAAAAAGGGAGAAAATGTTGGAAAGTTACGGAATACTAAAGCTACATAAAACCATTAAATTGCATATGTAAATTACATATGCAAACAGTACCTATAAATAATATTCACTCCCTTGGAAGTTTTTGCTTTTTATAGTTTTTCAACATTAAATCATGGTCAATGCCATTTGGCTTATTGACAAAAATTTACAAAGAAAGACTCTTGCATGTCAAAGTGAAAAAAGATTTCTTCAAAGTAATGTAGATTAATTATAAATACAAAATGTAAAATAACTGGCAGCATGAGTACGTAAGGAGTGACTCATCCAATAAGTATTCAAACTCCTTAAAATAACTCATCTAATTCGACACAGGTGCATCTAACAGGTGCTAGAAGTCATGCAAATGTGTCTCAGGTGATTTTAGTATAAAGACGCCTGCATCTGGAAGAACCAGTCACTGGTGAACCAGTACTCCTGACTATAACTACACCACAAAATAAAATTTAAAAAAAAATAAACTCTTTAAAAAGTTATTAAAAAGTATAAGTCTGGGGACAAGTCAAGAAACCTTTGGAATACAGCTACATCACTTAAAAAATGAAAGAAATATGACACATGGATATTTTGCGTAGAGAAGGCCGTTATCAAGAACTGGGTGACTGCGCAAAAAAGAAATCAGTGAGAGAGGCCACCAAGACATGTATGACTCCTCTGAAGTTACAAGCTCCAGCCACTGAGATGGAGAGATTGTGAAAACAACAACAGTTTCCTGTTCTTCACCAGTCAAAGCTTTATAGGAGAATGGAAAAGGGAAAGACACTGTTGAACAAAACTCATATAAAGTCTCGATGACAGTTCGCCACAAGGAAAGACTATAAAGTCAACTGGACAAAGGTTCTTTGGTCTGATGAGATGTAAAGACGTAAATTGAACTCTTTAGCCATCAGATTAGATGTTTTGTGAAGCAGACACCATATCACTCCATATTATCACAAGCACAACATCCCCACAGTGAAGCATGGTGGTGGCAGCATCATTTTGTGAGGATGCTTCTCGGCAGCAGGCCCTGGAAAGCTTGTAAAGGCAAAGGTAAAATGAGTGCAGCAAAATGCAGGGACATATGTTGCCTGTTTTTCACCAGTCAAAGCTTTATGGGAGAATGGCAAAGTGAAAGACACTGTTGAACAAAACTCATATTAAGTCTCGATGACAGTTTGCCACAAGGAAAGACTATAAAGTCAACTGGACAAAGGTTCTTTGGTCTGATGAGACGTAAAGATGTAAATTGAACTCTTCATCAGATTAGCTGTTATGTGTAGCGGACACCATATCACTCCATATTATCACAAGCACAACATCCCCACAGTGAGGCATGGTGGTGGCATGTGTACAAAGCTTGTAAAGGCAAAGGTAAAATGAGTGCAGCAAAATGCAGGGACATATGTTGCCTGTTTTTCACCAGTCAAAGCTTTATGGCAGAGTAGCAAAGCGACTTTGCCATGAGGTCATTTTTTGTAAATCCTTGTCAAAAAAGCCACATTTAATTGAGCATGATTGAATGTCAAAAAGCAACCACAAAGGAAAACTTTCATAAGGGGTGAATACTGTTTATAGACACTCGACATGTGACTGTAGATATGTAAGTAACTCCTGTGCTCATACAGCGTTCACTATAATGGCGTTATTATTTTAGTTATCAAAAAACAAAGCAGAGTTTGGAGACGAGCTGCCCTCACCGTAGCTCTCGTTGTTTCGTCGGTGATGGCGTTCATCGCAGAAGCAGCCGTAAACACCGTCCTTCTCACCACACCACTCATACTCTGTGCAGTCCAGCTGTTCACATGGGTCTGACTCAGCTGCAGAAATAGTGAGATAAAAGTCTCTAAGCCTATTGGCCTGAAGGATTTCTTTTTTCATTCATTATCTTGGATATATTCAGCCAGTGCAAACGTACCACAGTGCAAACCAGAGCGCCAGTCAGTGATGTTCAAGCCCACAACAGAGCAGGTTCTCTCGTAGGCTTCGACAGCAGAACATAGCATGCCATTGGCTGGAGTGTAGAGGCAGAGATCGTAGACACAGGAGGCAAAGAATGGCTGAGGGTCAGAGTGCAGGTGGCAGGCGCTGAATGGACCGCTGGTGTTGGTGATGACACTACAGAGTTCGGAGTATTCTGTCACAAAGGTACAGTCGTTCAATCCACCGCCCCTTGTGTCATCAGTGGATCCACATCTGGAAAAGCAAACATAAAATTAACACTTTGTGAGACTTTGTCACAACATACAGTCTGCATCTGCAATATGCAGTGTTGTGACAGAACGTTGGATGGTACACACACACACACACACACACACACACACACACACACACACACACACACACATCTGACACTCTGTATTTTAATGGTTTGCTACATCCTGTAGAAAGTGTCTTTGAGCTGTAGCTGAAGTCAAGTACTGTTTTTATAAATCCCATTTAGTTTTCTGGTTCAGTAAAACAAGTACACTTTTCTGAACTCTATGAACTTGAAATGACCCTTTGTTCTTTTAAACTAGTATTCTAATTTCTGCTGAAGTGTAAAAATGGGGTATCAATATGCATCTGACGTCCACTCGTCATTAAAATGTTCCACCACAACTCAACCACTGGGTGTTGGAGCAGGATTCACAGTAAAACAAAAAAAAAGGAAAGAAGAGTAAGTCTATTGACAAAATCATGTCTTACATTTTAAGTTTGGGTGAAATAAATACCTGCTTTGAAAAAAAATGGAAACTTCAAGTTGACTTGCCTTTACATTAAGTTGCAGCAATGCAAACTGTTAATTTTAGAGAAGTCAAATGATTTAATTATATCTAACTTGTAAAGCAATATGACACTATCACCTATGTGTGTCAATCTTATCTGATGCAATCTGTCAGATATGTTGCCATAGACTGAGGTTATTTGGACTGAAAGTCAAAAGGGGTCATGTTATGCAAAATTACATTTTTTATTGTTTCTTGGCTAAATTTTGTGTCCTATGTGTGTCCAGAGACACAAAATATGAGAATAGAGTAACTCCTCATCTAGTCTTTTCTCCTCGGTCAGAAAGTGTGTCTGAATGAGTCGTTCAGGTTTGTTGGTTTTAAAGCTACAGACACTGAAACAGCCTGTTAAGAACAGGGCAAAAAAAAGTTAAAGGCACAATAGAATACATGAACTGGGCAGTGTTTTGAAATAAAACTTGAAATCTACATTCTGTGGACATTAGAAACTTACATTAACTTGTTAGAAATGGGTTTTAAATGGATGCTCTGAGTGGTGATGTACTTTCTTTGAACACAAGTGTAAGTGAGAAATTGTACTATTGCCTAAAAAATGTTCGACTAGAAACGATGGTTTGCAAAATCTCTGTTAAAATGCAGTGAAGTCAAGCTGAACAAGACTTTATTGGCTTCATTAATGATATTTTAGTGATGCATGTGTAAATTGCCAAACACAGTAGATCATCTCACCCTGCTTGGCTTGTTGATGACTTCCAGCTGTGTCCAAATTCATTGTCATTTTGCGCCAGTGTGCCATTGGGCAAGACCTTGTCATCTGTAGAGTTGCTGTTAAAGTTCCCGCACATCCCGGTGACTCTGTTTCTATGGCGTTGGCCAATTCTGACCAGTAAAGTACTCCGGCCATCAAACTGGACAATCAAGTCAGAAGCATTGACGACCATGTAGCTTCCCTGTCTGACCACCTGAGCTAAGGTCCCAACAGTGGTGGGAAGAGACACCGCATTTCCATTTACCTGAGTGGACAAGAGGTTAGAGAGACATCAAATGAATGTAAAAAGTTGTTCATCTTGAAAATAATTAGGAGCTTACCGTCACTCTTTTGTTGGGTCCAATCCTGACATGCGAGTCCTCTGCTTGATGCCTGAGGTATATATCCACGGCAGATACAAACGACACACGGTTGTTGCCACGGTGGTTATTGGTGGCTGCCACATAAAACTGGGTTTCGTTGGCATCAAGTGTGTCACTCTGTGTAATGATGTAAGAGCATGTGCCCTGGAAATGAGCCAGTGCTCCATCAAAGGTGATGTAGTGTGGATCTCCCCACACCGTGCAAGTAGACAGTGCATCATTACAGCCCAGCTGGCCATTTCTGATGGTGCACTGTTGTGTGGGAGTGCAAGACGTAGGAGAACATTGCAGGTCATTGGGAGCACGACATTCACATCTCTGGGAGCAACCGTTTGTCCAGAAGGACTCACCAGCCTGTATTATGTGACAAAAAGTGACATGTGCATTAACCTACTGAGCTCATGCCTCATTACAGCTATTGGCGAGAATGTGGAACGATACAATAAAACGGTTATTGTTCGCTATTGTTCCATGCTGTCTGTCACACATTAGCAGTCAGGTGGAACACCCTGCGCATACTGTGAAATCATCATTACATAGCTGTATTGTTTAGAACCACATTTGTTTTTTTCCTTCTTGCCAAGTTGTAACTCACTCCTATCATTTACAGCATTATTCAAATGCCTGATGAAATTAAAATGTGGCAAAGAAAAATTCTTTGGTGATCAGATGAAAGCAGCATCCGTGACTTGTGTACTTGTGTACTTGTGTACTCTTTCCTACTCTTATTTGTCTTACATGGTATTTCTCATACCATATCATGTTCAGGTGCAGCTGTTGTGAACTGTGTACACGTAAGAAAGCACAAATTATTGAAAGAATTTATATAACAGAAAAACAAAACGGACAAGCAGTAAGTCTCACATCAATGCACTATTTTCTTTCTCTGTCTGTAGTTATCAGGCTTGCTGACGCTTCCAGCAGCTCTGTGTGAAAGGCACAAACCGAGGCGGCAGTCAGACAGGTGCATTATTAATGATCGTGCTGCAGCTGCTGCCACAGTTGGAGGGTCAGTGCGTGAGACAGCAAATTTTAGACCCAATATGTGTGTAGATTACGTAAAACATTAAAAAAAGATTGTCATCGTATACCAGAACTCCATGAGATTATGTAGACAGCTAAGTAGTTTCTCTTTAATACCTTAAAGTAGCAAAACATTGTACAGCAGCTTTATAAAGGCAAATGAAGAGTAAGTTTTTCATTACTGATACTGATGTTGATGGATGATTGGGGCAGACTGATTTAAGGGGACATAGCAATAGTTGTTACATCTATAATACAGCAGAGCTGCGAAGTGCGTGACTCACGTCATAGTAGAAACCATCATGTTGGCAGCCACAGTTTTGCACAGGGACACACCTCGTACCACTCCTGACGAAACCTTCATCGCAGAAACATCCCTCTGAACAGCTCTGCTCACAGGTGGCATTAGTGCTGCTGGCACAGGTGTGACCACAGTCTGTACCACACAGCTCATAGTGACTGTTGGCTGCACAGTTGAGTCCTTGATAAGCGAGAAAACAAATTATAGTTGTCAGGTGGTGGAAAAAAAAAATCAGTCAACAAACTCAGCCCATATGTAGATGCAATATTTCCAAAGACTTGATTATCTTGACTGGTTGACTCACGGCAGGGGGTGTCCTGTCTCCAAGGGTAGATCTGAACATCAGCAGACTGACAGGCGCTGACATATGACTGAATGGCCCTGCACAGAAGATCTTGGTTTCGATTTCCGGACACGCAGACATCAAACACGCAGTCGGTGAAATACGGTGCCGGGTCCACCTGCTCGTGGCAGAAGCTGAAGGGGCCGTCGGCTGCCCGAATCACCTCACACTGAGCTCTGGCTGGCTGCTCGTTGGGACATCGAGGGCAAGAGGAGCCGCAGCCATCACTGCAGGTGTAGTTCCCTGCAACCTTCCATGACGCCCCAAACTCATGTGGAGTGGTGACTGTTGTTCCATTTGGAGCGTGGAACTCATCATTTGGGTTACCGTTGAAGTTTCCGCAAAGTCCACATGTTTGTCCACTAATGAAGATAATTCGAGGAGAAAAAAAACAAACAAACAAAAAAAGCCAGAATGATATGTTAAATCAATCAGTCAAACTTTAGTTACAATTTTTATGCATATTTATAATAAGTGATCGGGACAAATGTAGACTCAAAGAAATAAAAATGACCAAAATGTAATAATAAAACCAAAAGGTCTGTACACATAAAGTAAACTATAAAGAACAAAATATTTTAAAGGCTCCCTCTAATGAGATTCTAGTTTTTTACTTTATTAACATGCCCACATTATGTTTTTCCCTGAAGTATGTCGATGACAGTCTCAAAAGCATTTGGAGTTTTGGACTTCTGCAATTTCATTTGTAACAAAACGAAGGAACCAGTCCTGCAGGGTGGCTGAATTACGCCAACAACACAACTTGCTTTGTGGGGCATAGCATAGTTTTAGTGTTTGAGCAGAGCTGTGGGTGAGCTGGTGTGCTCGAGCTGCAGTGAGCTGAGTGAGTGAAGAAGGAGGTGGGGACAGCATGGGTCTGTACATTCCTAAGCAGGTAACAATTTAGTATTATTTTTAAAGCTTTGTAAGACACAAGACAATTATTTTCCTGAAAAAAAAATCCTCAATATGCCATTACTAAACACAGACATGAGCTCTAAAGGTTAAATCAATGCCTGGAGAGGGACTTTAAGATGATAAATACAAGTACAGCGATTTTCAAATACAAATAAAAACGGGTCATCCAATCAAAGTTAATTCTAAAGGAGAAGGATTTAGGCTGACATCGAAAAATGTCTAAACGTTAAACTGCTCTCAGATTGCTCCAACAGCTTGAAGCATAAAATCTTTTGTCCAGCACTTTGGAACAACTAATAGAAGTTCATATATTGCAACACATGTCAGAAAAGAAGGTTGGTACAAAACTGAACTGATTTAAATATGAAAAAAAGACTTTTCTTAAAAATGGATTTCATTTGTTTTCTCATTAAAACTTGCATGGCAGAGTTCCTGAGTGCCGAGGTTGAGAAAATGTAAGTCATTAGAACGTAACTTGAGCTGTACCTGTAATTCGAAGGCAGAGAGACCGACACTGTACTCCATCCGTCGTACGAGACACTCAGGCCAAAATCCACAGTGACAAATGTTCGAGATCCACTTGCATAGATAGATACAAGGCTGCCATTCAAGTGAACTGGTAAATTTCTTGTTATTCCATTTACCTAAAGAATTGAAAATTGAAATGTCTTCAGCAGCTCTCTACAGCAATTTCAATTATCCACCAATACCAATATTTACAATAAGACAGTAAAGGCACGGCTCATTTAGTTGAGCTTTTCCCACCATCTGTCGTCTTACTTTCTTAAGATGAAGAATATCACTAAAGGTTCAGAAATAAATATAAATTTTAAATTTAACTTACCTCTACAATACCCCTCCTGTGTCTGGACATGTGCACTTGATAGCCCCACACGTTGACAAAAACCTCAGCTGTGATTGAAACCTGCAACCCATTCCACGCCTCATTCTTAGCTTCCACAGAAAACTGGTGGAGGCCATGAGTGGAGTTGCAAAGATTGGCCAGAACATAGCGACAGGTTCCCTGGAAGTCATAGGCTTTGCGATCAAAGGTGAGATAATGAGGGTCTCCAGAGGCAGAGCAGGTGCCACGAGGGATGGAGTGGCAGCCCAACTCGCCAGCCACCACCCGGCAGGACTGCTGGGGACCACAGGAGTTGTTGACACAGTGAACCAGCCCAGTAATGCTATTACAGCTGCACAAGCGCTGACATTGTTGACCATCCAAGAACTGCTCGCCACCTTCGCGATAGCGTCCATTGTGATAGCATCCACAGGACGTTGGTGGCACACATTGGTTGCCATTGAGGACAAAGCCATCATTACACTGGCACCCATCCTGGCACTGAGTGTCACAGGTGAAGGGGAAGGAGAGGCTGGGGCAGGCAGACGGACAAGAGCTTCCGCAGAGCTCATAATGGCTGTTTGAAGGGCAGGTTTGTGCTAGAGAAAAGACAAAAAGTTATTTTAGAAAGGTTAGTGAATGTTTTTATATCAAAGTCGTCTCCACCAAAAGCAGTAAGGACTTACCACAGGCAGTTGCGTTCCTCCACTGCCCTAAGGTAACGCCCCTTTCTTGACACATGAGTACATAATCTCGTAGGACCTCACACAGTGCTGATGCTGGATCTCTAGAGCTCCTGAGTATGTTCACACAGGCATCCACCTGCTGCTGTGGATCCACCGTGGCATTACACGGTGCAAAGGGCCCATGTGGTGAGGTAAGAATGCCGCAGTACTCAGTGGAACTGTAGTTGGTTGTAGTATTGTGATTGATGCTTTCCACGCACTGCGCAGAGAGGGAGCCACTTCGCCAGCTGTCCCCAAAGGCCTGAGAACTGCTGACCAGTGTACCATTGGGTGTGCGGAAGTCGTCGTGTGGGTGACCATTGTTGTTACCACAGAGTCCAGCCAGTGAACCATTGTAGCTACTGGGTACAGTGAGCCGAACAAAGCGGGGCCACACTGTCTGCACAGTTACACCAGAGGAGGTCCGAAGGATGATGCTGTGAATGCTGCTGTGGTAGATGTGGATTCGGTTGGATGCAGAGCTGAAAGGTAGTCTGATCAGCTGACCGTCAACCTAAACATTTAAACAACAAGTGTCAGATTTTGGGGGTGACCAGAATTTTAGTTTCCAAGGAAAAAATAAAACAAAAAGTTCAAAGAAAAGTTTTAATGCATGCAAGAAGATAATCACAAACTGAATTCTTTTTAGTAGGACTTTTCTCTGGTGTCACCACTCAGTTTTTACATTTATATTGATTGAAACATATTTCAGTCATTTACCTGAACTCTGCTGCTCTGTGACATCTCAATGGAGACTTGTGTTCCCTCTGCCTCGATCTTTAGCACGTTGGAAAAACCCTGTTGGCGTCGTGGCACTTTTTCTGCTGTCACCTCAAAGTGCGATTGAGAAGACGATCCTATTACTTTGGAAAGGGTCAAGCGACACGCCCCAGGGTACTGGTATATCAGTCCATCAAAGGTATGATATGACCCTGAGCCCCTTAGCCAGCATGTTGCGTGGCTGTTGGGTCTGCATCCTCTTTCGCCATCCTCCACACCACACGACTCAAGTGGGCCACAACTGTGGGAGCGACAAGTCATGGAGCCAGACCTACAGCTACAGCGTCTTCCACAGTTGTCGTCTAGTATTACGGTTTCTCCAGAGCGGTAGTAGCGACCCTCAAAGCTGCAGCCACAGTCAGACTGGGGGACACAGACCCCTCCGCTGAGGACAAAGCCTGAATTGCAGATGCAGCTCTCCTGGGCAGGGAGAGGGCAGTTGTTGGTGGAGTTGGGATTGACACAGGTAGATGGACATCCTGTGCCTTGGGACTCAAAGTGGCTGTTTGCTGGGCAGGGGATTTCTAGACAAATTCAAACAACATCGATCTTAACATTGTGGACATTTTACCGTGAAGATATTTTTGAAATCATTTTGAATGACAGATAGGCATACCACAGAAGCCAGGTCTTCTCCAGCTTTGCAGCTGGATACCATTTTGCTGACACTGACTTGCATACACATTTAGGGCTTGACACAGAATGGGCTGGTACCCTCCTCCTACACACAGATCGTACACACAACTGTCCACATATCTCTGTGGGGGAAATCGTTGCTGGCAAGCGGCAAAAGGTCCAGACGTGCTCTGGAGGATACCACAGTGGGCAGCATTGCTGTACAATGCTGTTTGAGCGTTAGTGCAGGAAGCACAGTTCAGCCCTCCACATCGCGCTGCACATCCAGGCTCATCATCCCCGGGCACTTGCCAGCTATTGGCAAAAACCACATCAGAGCTCACAACCTGGCCTTGGCGTGTTCGAAAGTCATCTCCAGGGTGATTGTTGAAGTTCCCACACAGTCCACATGTTGCATTCTGGTAGGTGTAGGGCACCTTGACCCGGACAAGATGATTAGCATCATAAGATACCTCCAAGCCAAAGTTAGTGGTGACGATCACAGAAAACCCTGACTCGTAAACCTGGATGTTGCCATTGCTGAGGGAGAACGGAGTTGCTGCAAAGCTTCCATTAACCTGTAATCACACCAGGATACAAACACAGATCTGATAATATGATCAAAACAACAATATCACAGCAAAGGGAAACTCAGTTCTTACGGTTTACCTTAGCCTCACCACGGCGTCCTTTGACAATCTCAATGGTTTCATTGTAGACATGCACTCTAACCAGTCGTGTCCAGGAAACACGAGTGCTGCCCCGGTGTTCGTTCTTGCCCTCCACTCTGTAGTAGGGCAACCCACCATGACATTGTTCTGAAAGAACATAGGTGCAGGTGCCCTGAAAGTGAAAGACTGTGCCATCGAAGGTGTAGTAATGTGGATCACCGCTTATGGTGCAGGTGCGTCTCTGCACCGTCTGGCAGGCGAACTGAAAGGAAGTTCTCCGGCAGATTTGTGAGAAGGAGCAGGGCTGGTTGTGACACTGCAGGCCTGCTGAGGTGCAGGTGCACTTCTGATTACAGGCACTGTCGCTCCAGAATGAATCACCGAGCTGCACGGTTGTACCTTTGAAGAAAATAAAAAGAAACGTTCTTTGAAAGGCTTTGACTTCAGCCTGCAAACATTTTAACTATTTACAATTCCTGAGCCCTCGCTTAGTTATTTTGCAATAGGCCTAGACTGCTGGGGGTCTTCCCGTTATGCACTGAGCACCTGTCTCATTCTGTCCCCATGCAACTATATGCCACCATTGCATGTCAGTAAATTTGTGATTTCTCTTTCCTGTTATTTGTGTCTTGTCCTCTCTGCAGGTATCTCTGCATCTGGAGTTAGTGGCTTCACTAACTTCCAAACTGCTTTTTTTTCCCTTTGCATTGTTTGTCTGTTCATCTGCAGTCCTTACATTATTCAGTGGCTCAACAACAAGGACAGATTTATCACCAGGCTTTGCAACATTTTCACTGAGTGCCTGATGGCATTTGCTTGTCACTCTAAAGGAGCACTGTGGGGACCACCCTCTGGTTCTGGTCTTACCATTGAAAGTGCAGCCTCTTGACCCATGGTCCACCCGGAAAGCAAAGCGTCGAGGTACGTTGACGTTGCTCAGGGTGAGCGCTGAGATATCGACTGAGAGGATGCTAGATACATGAGGTAAGTATGTTCCAGTGATGGAGAAATGGTGAACAGAGTTGACTGTGTCGTATCCAACCTGAAATTACAAGTCACACAGATCACATGAATTACAGGTTTATTTCTTATTTGCACAGTGTCAAGTTCACTTTCAGTAAGAGATGGCAACTAAAAAAACCTGCTCCACAGCGCAATGCATTTAATTCTTATGACTCTAACCTCCACTCTTCTAGTTGGTGGGGCGATTGTCCCATAGTTCATCAGCACAAATGAGTATTGGCCACCAGAGATCAAGACTGCCTGGAATGTTGATTGCTGGAAAAAACAACAACTTGGTGTTATTGAAGTATACACATTAAATAATGGGTAAAACAGACACTGACATTATATGTATTTTCTTATTTAGAAAGACGTGACTTACTGTTCTACTAAATGGATAATAGGCCACCTGATACCATGTCGCTACAAAGACCCATTCAGCAGTGAAGCTCAGTCTTGGAAAGTACGTATTAATGTCTCGTGTAGCTTGCTGGAGAACAGTGCCACTGGTGTATTGCATGTAGTTGATCTGACCATTGCGTCTGTTGTCTATATCAGTCCAGAATGGAGCAATGATGTCTCTGGTTCCATGCATTGGAATCCTTTCAGGTGTGTATCGAGACCATGGCGCGTTAAATGTCAGATCTCCATTGTGGTTCACCTAGAAAAAAAAAAAGGTTCTTACTAACAAAGTGTTAGTAGGTGATTACTAGTCGCTGGCAATCACATGTTACCAAATATCAACATATTTACAGCTGCAGTTAACCAAATTACATCTCTGACAACACACTGACGACAGTTATCTAATACTTGTCATTACTGAATCGTTTATATCAGAATCATTTAGGTCAAATTAAAATTAAACAGAAACTAATACTTTTTAAAAAATGCATTTGTTGCTTCACCAACTCATTCAATTTATTCTTTTTGTATATTTACAACTCAGATCTTGAGTTGGGAGTGATTTGCCACTCAATGGATGAATAATTTATTTCTCCACAACTCCTAGCAGTCTTCAAAAAATATAGATGTTGTAGATTGCCAAATGGATTTTTTACATACGTAAATCTGATTGTGGGACTGTCCGAAATAAACAAAGGGTCGACTTAGAGCAATTCGAGGAGAACTTCCATCGTCCGATCGAGCGCTTGTTGTCCCACCGATTGGGTAGAGGGGTCCTGGAGAGAACAAATAATGTCTCCTTTTTATTTTCAGCACCAAGTGTAACCAAAATACTAAAAAATATTAAAAGACAGAAGCAGATTGGTTATATTACTAATAACTATGAGAAAGAATGAAACGAGTTCCTCAGACCTATCATTCCTAGTCGCACTGTGAATGGAAAATGATCTACACAGTAAAGAATGTGTATCAGCCACCTGATGGAAAAATTTCAGGTCAGCCGGTTTGCATCTGAATTCCCGGATCAGTAGCGAGCTATCTGACACCAGAGGAAAGGGTTGATGATGGTGATAAACACCCAACCTTCACACCCTCGATGTTTGCTGTGCTATACGAACACTACTCATGTTTTTTAAAGCGCTAAATGCTGGCATTGGATATAAATAGTTTCCTGTTATAACAAAATTCATGTAAATATTCATATTTTAAAATACTAAAATCTTCTGTTAAAAACTACGTATTCCTGCCATCAAACAAATGATCACCACAGCATCTGTGACCCTCTGATTTTGACGTCTTTGCATGACTGGACAGAGCTGAAGAGTATCAACAAATTAAAAATAAGTGAATAAACTCGCCTGTTGCTTGAAGAGACGCCCCACCTATGAAACAAATGCATACATGTAAATGAACCAAAACATGGGACTAATAACATCAATACATCAGTTAGTGAAATCGAATAACCACATCAGTACAAATGGAAGTGACTCAAATCTGATTAAATGCTTACTTATCATTCCCAAAAGCAGCACAGGCAAAATGATTTGACCTGCCATTGTTCAACGCTCAAAAGTCAAACCTGCAAACCGAACATCACAAATTACAAAAACCAAAAAACGAGAAAGTACTCAGAAGGCAAGAATCCCACAATATGCTGCATACATTGATAAATAAATAAATATTTAGATATAAATGCACCAAAATGTTCATCATAAATAGTATTAGCGTTCAACATTTTTCCTGAAGAGGTCTCTGAAATTGAAACTTTGCTTCATTAAATGTATCTTAAGTTACTTGACGTTTTCTTTCTAATCAAAACGTTAATATTTTGTGGACAAATAAGTGCCACTTTCTTATGAGATGCAATTATTATGCAGCTTAACATTCTGGAAATAATGTTTCCCTTAAACAATGTGCAAAATAAATTAATTACCTTCTCGTAGGAGCTTCCTTTCATCAAGTACATCTCATCTGAGCGTGCGGCGCTTCAAGTAGGTTTTATACACAGACAGCTGGCACAGTCCCACAAATCTGTTGTTTTACTAGTTAGGTGTATCTGATGGACAAAGTTACTTCCTCATAACAACTAATCATTCCACCGAGCACTGAGATCAGGGAAGATTACTCGCCTCACCGCAAGAAAAGAAGATGAAATATTCTTCCAAAGACTTAATACTTTGACTTAAAGGTTGTTAACAATCCAAGTGTCTTGACCTTTGTTACAAGTTGTTGGTCATCTTGGTAGAAAATCATTCATTTACTTCTCCTGCTATTGAATTGGCAACAACAACAAAAAAACCCCAAACAAACAAGACTATTCAGTGGTTTTCTGATAAAGTTTAGGGAAATATCAAAACCAAAATATGAATTTGATTTTCTCCCCATGTGACCTGCTTTTTGTTCAGAGTTATCTCAACAAGGTATCTCAAAAAGCCGGAGATGGTTTGACAAACTATAAACAAACATATTTCACATTTTACAGTTGGTTTTACTTCCTCGTGTTTTGGCCTCTGAGATTTCTGCCTCCACCTTAGCACAGTGCACGTAAATGAAACTTTAAAATTAATCCCTCTAGAAACAATGGGACCTTGTAGTGTGGCAGAACATCACCAAGTTTCATGGTGTGTATTTATTCGGCAGTGAGCAGCTACAGTCAACTTATTTATCTTTTTCACCCTTTGTAAAGCACTCCTTGAAATACTTGGAAAATGAAAGTTTCAACCCGAGGGTGTTATTGAAAGATATTTGAAGATATTTTTACTTTAATGACTTCAAAAAAATAAGAAGTTGCAAATCAAAATTAATGAAGTTACCATATACGATCACTTGGTTTATGGTTTTAAAAAAAGGAATTTATAATAAATAAAAGAAAAAGTAACAAACTGTAAAAAATATTTATTTAGAAGCATTTTAGTTTGACGTCATGACACTTACACAACCAGTAAAATATTTATAAAGTGCTTGACAAGTTCATTTAGTACCGTTTTTCTTGGGGTAGTGGTATTAATGGCACTAATCTCAAAAAATAAATCAAACTGGATTTCAATGTAAACCAGTAACAAAGCGTTTATAAAGAGCCTGGAACATTTGTTTAGCGACATTTTTCATTAGGTAGTGATACTGGCACTGATATCAAAACTAAATCAAAGTGCACATGGTTCTTCAACCTCAAGGAGAGGCTCAGGGTGGACACACTGAACGTCCAAGGAAGTTACCAAATATGGTCACTGGCCCCATAAAGGGTTAACCATGTTTGCAATCTTTGCCCAGCTTTAAACCTGGCGTTTTAAATATCTTATACTAACCATATCCTAACCATGGAGGAAAGTAAATCATTGCAACTGTTAATAGAGCGTATGGGGTTGCTTTGCAAGGAGAAAAATACTTTTTACGATTTCATTTTGCAGACGCTTTTATCCAAAGAGTAAATCACATTCATACACCAATGGCGACAGAGCTGCCATGCAAGGTGCTGCCTGCCATTGGGAACAACTTCGGGTTCAATGTCTCACCCAAGGACACTTCCACTGTGGAGGGGTGGGGGATCCAACTTGTGATTAGAGGACAACCCGCTCTACCTCCTGAGCCACAGCCGCCTACTTTACTGTAGCAGTACCATCATAAGCAGTAGACTTAATCTGTAATGAACATAATTCCTGAGATGCTGTGACAGTCCAACCTAAATTTCGCAATAAATGGTTACCTCCTTGTTGTGTGTTTGCTTGTAAAAAGAACAGCCTGTTGCTAAGGATCCACCTGGGAGCTGTATGTGCTTGATGCCCTGTGGCTTTGTGCACAAGCCAATGATTAAGAAATTAATTCAGTCAAGTTATAATGCACACTAGAACACTTAGTCACGAGGTCAACATTGTTGCTTTGTTCTTATTCAGAGCTAAATAATTGCAGAATATAATTGTCGAATATGTCCTTTAATGGAACAATGGGAAAGTGAAACACAGGTGTTTGAGAGGAACTTTTTATGTCTGGGCTTACTGCAGAATAAGTTATCATTACACAGCTCAGCACTTCAGAAATAATCTCTCCCAATTATAAGTTAAATCATCAGTGATTTATTCACCAGCGACAGATTATTCATCATGATGTGAAATGTACTGAGTGGGCAGGTATTGTTGGTTCAAAGCCCACATAAACGAATTCATTTATTCACGTTTATAACTAGTCAAGACAAAGCAAGTTCATTCATGAGACAATTAAATATACATTAAAGAAGATCTATTATACTTTTTCTTACTTCCTATCCTAAATATATATTTAAAATGTTGGATATTGATATTAATTGTGCCCACAGCTTCAAATAATGATTTAAACACATGGAAAAGGATAAAATTCAGGCTTAAGATACTATGAACACCTGGGTTCAAGAGTTTTTGGGGTTCTTTTTCTATTTTTGCAACAAGCTGATATAAGCTCAGTACTGTCATCTGCTCCTGGCATGGTGATGTTCTCACAAAACTCTCTACTTGAGTAGGAATGTGGGCCGCACACGAATAATCAATGTTACAGATAGATAATTTGTTGCCTTTGGCGTTTCCTGAAGGTGGACTTGTTCCTCTTCTGTTAGCGTTTTGACACATTTGCCCATGTACACCAATTAACAATGTCAGATATTGAAAATGTGCATATATGGCTTGTGATTGAAAGATTAAATTCTTCTTCTTGCTTCCTTTTTTACATATTCGGGCTTGAATCATCCATCCATTATCTATACACCGCTTAACCCTCACTAGGGTCATGGGGGGCTGGAGTCTATCCCAGCTGACTCAGGGTGAAGGCAGGGGACACCTTGGACAGGTCACCAGTCTATCACAGGGCTACACTTAGAGACAGACAACCAAGCACACTCACATTCACACCTACAGACAATTTAGAATCACCAATTAACCTCAACATGTTTTTGGACTGTGTGGGAGGAAGCCGGAGAACCCGGAGAGAACCCACGCTGCACGGGGAGAACATTCAAACTCCACGCAGAAAGATTCCGGTGCCCCCACCGCGAACCAGCGACCTTCTTGCTGCGAGGCAACAGTGCTACCAACTGCGCCACCTTACAGCCCAGGCTTGAATCAAGAACAAGAAATTATGTTATTAAGTATGTTGCTTATCGTTTACTTTTGGACCTCCTACACTGGCTCACATGTGAAGGCTTCAGATCTAAAGTAAAGTGGGCTTTTCGGGAGACACAGGCGCTACAACAGCTTGTTTTAGATGAGGGATGAGCTGAAGGGCTGTATTTTTACAATGGGACAAGACTAGTGGGGTCCTAGGTTAGATTAAAGAGATTTTTGATGCTACAGTTTAAATACAAAAGTAGCTGAATTCAAAAGAGAACACAAAAAAAATTTGAAGTTGGAAGAAGTTGGAAGTTTTCTCTTCTATTGCTTTTCAATACTGAATCACGGTCGATTTAAATTAGCATTTTAGACAAAAAAGCTACTTTAATGTCAAAGTGAAAACAGATTTCTTCAAAGTGATGTAAATTAATTAAAAAATACAACATGTAAAATAATGAGTTGCAAAAACATTCCCACCCTTTAAAGTGACCTAATTAAACTGGTGCTACGAGTCCAACCAAGACCAAAAATATGTGTCTACAAGTCCAACCAAGAACAACAAAATGTGTAATATGATCTGAGCCACAATCAAAGGCATGCAGACTGCAGGAGCAGCAGATTTTAATTAGGTGAAAGTCAATCCCTGAATCTTTAACGCAAAAAAAAAAAAATCTAATTAAATTGCCTTCACTGTCATATTTTTTTTTTTAAAGTCAGTTTGCAATTTGTTTAAATGCAAAAAAAGAAAACAAAAAAAACCCCCAAACATTTCAGAGAAACGACAAGAAATGTTTGATTCTACTGTTGTCTCAAAAATAGTTGCTGTGCCCGCAGCAAGAAATCTTGGTTTTCAGTAAATCTTATCTAGAAATCTAATCTGCTCCGGGGTCGGATTAGTGTTTTCTTGGATCTAAACTTCCTGTTGGTTCAGTGCAGTGAGGAAGTTTGACTTTCTTTGGCCCCACATACCAGCTGTGTTAGGATGATGAAATGAGTGTAGTGCATTTGTCCCACATGATTTTATCATAAAGACAACCGTACAAGTCAGTGAAAAGGATAAGTTGGGAAATAGATAAGCCACTAAATATCCCCTGGAGTACAGACAAATACATCAATGGGAAATAGAAGGAATATGTCACATGAGAGCAGACCGCTCTCAAAAACTTAGCGACCGTGCAGGAGAACGACTGGTGAGGGAGGCCACCAAGACATCTGAGTCCTCTAAAGGAGTTACAAGCTCCAGCAGCTGAGATTGGAGAGACTGTGTACACAATAACGTCTGCCTGTTCTTAACTAGTAAAAGCTTTATGGGTGAGCGGCAAAGAGAAATCCCAAATCAAATCAAATCAAATCAAATCAAATCTCGACTAGAATTCAGCAGAAAGGAGGGCTTTGAAATCAACTGGAAGAAGGTTTGTTGGTCCGGTGAGATTAAAACTAAACTTTTTTTCACCATCAGACTAGATGCAAACATTCACAAACACACCATAGCAGCTGTGACGCATGGCAGTGGCAGCATCATTAAAATGAATGCAGTAAATAACAGGGAAGTCCTGGCAGAAAACCTCACACAGTCTGCAAAAGACCTGCGACTTGGAGATTTGTTTAGCATCCAGTGAATGCCATCCAGAAAGGGTTTAAAGAAAACAAGGTGAATGTTCTGCAGTGGCCGAGTCAGAGGCCAGACCTCAGTCCAAATGGAAATCTTTTACCCATGACCCACATGTAACCTAACAGAGCAGTTTTGCCAAGAAGTATGGGGTTACATCGCAGTGTCCAGATGTGGTCATTGAGACCTATCTGCATCGACTAAATACTGACCTGAAGTGGGTGAATAGTTTCTTTTTTAAAAAAAAAAAGCCACCTCATATTAATTATGATCAATGCTGAAAAGCAATTAA